AAAAGTTTTTCATATATTTATTTTCAAAATCTCTGATATTTTTGCTATTAACAAAATATCTTATACTTAAAGACTGATATATTTTCTGTAAAATAAGTTCTTTATCAATAATACACAAACGCATATATTTTTTGGCGCCAATTTTTATCTTGATTAAAAACGCATGATATTTAAAAGAATTTTTATATATGTTTTTAGGTCTCAAACAATCATAAAGTTTGTATAATCTCAGATTAACATTGTATTAAACGTGATTAGCTGATTTTGAACAAGATATTAATAAGACATCAGTTGTGAAGGTGAGGAGTAAGGAAGTCTATTTTCTTATCAGCTGTCGCAGCGATATAAGTCAAATGATAAATATACTATATAAGTATATATGATATATACACTCGAGGATTTTTAGTTTCATTTGTAGGCATATATTTATTTTTATTTTTCTATACCTCTTCAAGGAAAATGTAAGTATAAAATCGTTTTCACTGATATACAACTAACTACATTAGTCATACAAGTTATATAATAATGAATCAAGCATTTTAAATTTTTTATTAATAAGAGAATATATTTTGCATTTCACTCTTCTTTTGTATAACAATCTTTCTTTTTTTTAATTTAATTGTAACTTATTATTTTGACGATGTTCTATTTTATCACAATTGGTTTAATCGTAATTTATCGAGATAAATATAAGATTAAATTATAATTATGATTTCATATACTATGTAGCTTATCATTCTAATTTAAAAGTAATATTTTCAATATAAATGATTAACTTACGTGTAAATCGATTTGATAATTTTTTACATTATAATGTTCAATATCGGGGCAAGTAGGCTAATTGTATTTTTAAAATATATTAAACGTACCTATGATTTAATTTTCATTTTCTTAGGCACTAGTATGACGTATCGGTATCATACAATGTAAGACAGGGCTGTACGTTGTAATTACGAGTATTAATACTTCTCACTCGAGTCACCTGCCTATAAGGAATTTAAATATAAAATAATTCCATTCTTGGATGATATTTATTTTTGTAAGTCAGTTATTTCTTGTTAACAATTAAGTTAAAATAAAGATGTTCTTACGAGAAAACATAATATGTTTAGAATATAAAAGTTATAACAGTGAGGATAATGAAACAAAATTCTAAATAATGTATAGAATGTGGAACGAACTTTTTTATTGATTTCGATCAATGACTGATTCTGAATTATAGCAATACTTAAAGTCTGTACTCCTGAAATATTACTATATAATTTAATCTGCAGAAAAACTTCTCAATAAATAGTGAAGGTTATAGTTTCATCCCTTCAGTGCATCTTGGGGCGAGCTGAACGGCTCCCCGCTGTCAAAGTTAGTTCCCATTGATATTTAATGAAATTCTTTTAAGACGTTTATTTGACCCTACGATTTAAAACAACTAACTGGCCACCCTTCTCAAAATTATTCAATAAAATGCGATCTTTTATAGAAAATTAAATTTTCTTCCATTCATGAGTCGAAGCGAGGTAATTTCTTGAGATTTAGCTTTTATTTTAGGTAGTATGTATGAGTGAGTGTGAGAGGCGCCTTGATGTGCCCTGAAGGCTGATAGTGTATCAAGTAACAGTATACGCGTTATATATTCGATGTCCCTTATCAAGTTATCTTATCACAACGTGATTAACCCACTTTACAATGTGTGTATAAAACATTTGTTTTGAAATGTTTATTTGTTAAAGCATCACTCAGAACGGTTGGCTGTGTAAACTTGCTGTATTTCCTGAACACCGAAATTATGCAATATTTAACAGTTTTCACTTGCTACATTATTTTACATTAAATTTTAAGTAATTTATTTAGGTTCCGATACTTTTACGCAATCATGATTTAGCATAGTCAATTCTGTTGCTTATTATATTAAGATTAAATATGACTAAAACTTTATAATCTAATAAATTATGTACCCTAAAATTGTCCGTGGTTTAAACGGTGGATAATCGTATCACAAGGAGCTCCTAGCAACGTATACGTGACCTATATCTGACGATGATCATTCAATATTACCGTTCAGGATATTCAAAGCGATAATTTAGATTACACGTCGCACGGCTTATTGTAACATTCTTTCGTTATCAGCGAGCGACTGGCGCCTCGTTCTCGTAGTAACACGTGTGCTATGATATATCAAACAAGCCGGATTCCTGGATCTAACGCAGGCTTACAAACCGACTTAGGTCTTTTAAATGAAACTGATATTTTTCGGATGTACTACGCGTGCTTTACTTTTGTAAAAAACTACATACTCCCGACGTTTCAGCTACTTTTCAACAACCGTGATTACAGGCACACTAGATATAGGACTTAGGTCGCTATTGGCTATGTATTGGTGATTTTTAGCTGTATATACATATTATAAGAAAATTTTATAAAAGAAATAACTATTATAAATTTGAACTCTAGTAATTTTGACCTAACGTTAAGGAAGTTTAGATTGCAACTGTTTATTTTATTTCAACATAATTTTTAAAGTGATTTAAATTTTAAGAAAATTACATTTGATAGTTTAAATACATTCCTTATCACTAATTCTTCCACACGGCCACAACCCGTTATCACAATATAATATCATTATACGTTTTGGGTGTTTATATCAACAATTTATCTTGAAATGTGACTGCTACTTCCTTTGTGTGAAGTTCTTTGAATATATTTAAGTTTTATTACGTGAACTTGATATTTTCCTTGTAGCATATGTATTTGATATTAGCACTAGGATTTTTTCTCCACCATACTTAGATCGCAGTGGCTCAAAAAAATATCCAAAATTCTCTAAATCGTTTCAAAGCCTCAACTTTCTTTCATCCGAGAAAAGCGTATTACTTCGTTCGACATACTTCCTTACTATATTACTATATGAAACTATTAAAAATTTTTAGACTAAGTATAAATGCCTCTAAACTATCTGTATTAACCTTACGTAACGTGAATCGTGAACGTGACAATTAATTTAAAATCATTATCCATGTGGCGCCACAATAGCATTGGCTGAAAGTGATATTACCAAAATAAAAATATTATTATCCTTATCATTATTAATATTTTGATATTTTATAAGTTATCTTCATTCAAGGTTGTATATATTAAAAATGTTTTTTATTTTATTACACATGTTCTAGTAATTGTTCATGACTCGTTGGCGATATGCGTTGCTCGATATAAATGACGGGATGGGGAATAATTAGTTGCAAATTAATAACTCGATAAAATTAACTTTAAAATATTGTTTAAATTATAATGAGATAAAATCTTTCGGCAAAGTAATGTATGTTCTTATAACATCAAAGTTTCTTTAATATATTCTAGCCCTATAAGTAATGTTGGTCCTTGTATTATGTCATATGCCATGACTTTTGTAAACATTTTATAATTTCCAAGAGTAGGTATGTTTATCGTCATGATCTATTTAAGGTCTATCAAATTTCCCTGTAGTGTGGATAAAATCACTATATTTATATAAACACTCACATATTTCTATGAAAATATCATATCTGTATTTGTTCTGATAAAGATATGCATTTTACGAAAAATATTATGTCACACATACCTTAATTAATAAATTCTTGAAAGTACATAGATACTTCAATAAGACTTATACAGCGTGTTAATAAATGCTAGAAAAATTTGTCATCAAGAAAACTTTATAGGCGTCGTTAACGGACATCCCTTAGAATATTTTTCAAACTATTTTTTTATAATGATGAAACGATAAATTTAATCCGAAATAGGTATACCAAATAATTACACTGAATAAGGTATTACCTGGAAATTTATTAAGATAATATGATCTTCAATAACATAACAGTTTTCAATTAATGCTGGAAGCTCTAGAACAGAAACAGAGATAAATTTACAAGAGAATATCAACAGGAAACATATTAAAGATATTTTTGTTAATCGCGATATACTACGTAGATTATTACAAATTTTTTGTTGGGCGTGGCTTCAATTATTATATGATGGAAACAAAACAAAATTAAAATAACAATAAATTCAGCTTTGTAAAATTGGAAAGTGTAAAAAAATACGGAATCGATAATCCTATTACTTTGAGGTTGAACAAAACACTCAGGAAAACAAGAAGATTCATAACAGCAGTTTATGTTGCACATGTGTTGTTTTTGATTCATGAATCAAAACGTAGACAGAATGCAGTGCATTGAAAGGCTCATAAAAATAATAAAAAAACCCTCGTTTCCGGACGCTAAACAAATTTTGCGACAGCTACGTGATTTGAATTTTGAGTGTCTTGTGTGGACCATCGTTAGTACAAATTAAGCACTGAGACCAGCGGGGTGCGAATGTTTTAAATATTATCTTTCGGGCTCTCCGCAAAGTATACTGCAATTGTAAAATATAATTCTTATTTAATACATACCGTTCCATAGCTCATAAGGTAACATATTCACAGAGTCACAATAAATATGTTTCTGATGTGTAATACATCCATAACACTGAACAAAATGGCGACGTTAGAAGCTATGTGTAGCGCATGTTATACCGAGAACAATACGCGATAAAATATTCATCAGAGATGTACGGATTTCCTCCGATCCTAGCGAGCGACGCGTCTGTTTACCAATTAGGATAAAAGATAACATTACAGAACACATTACATCGCGAATACTTTCACAAATGTTTACCTTTTATTAAGTAAATTACTACTTTTTATATGACCATCAATAAAAATAGATGCAATACATCGAATATCTAAAAAAAAGTATTAATTCGTTCTAAACTAAATTTCTCAGCCAAAATTTGTACAAGTACATAATGATAATGAGATTTAATACAAATTATTAAATTTAGAAGACCGAACTAAATAGAATTTTATTCAGATTTTAGCTTTCCCTCGTTAAAGATGTCGCTTTGTCATTTGGCACAGCAGAGCGTAACACAATAAGAGCTTATCGCTGAAGGTACATAGTTTTAAAATTAGTTTTTAAATAATAAACATGACAGGCTACAATGTGTCCAGTATATTACCAGTCGCACACAAGATGGCTGCCGTAATAAAGGTATGCGCATATTCCTTTTACGGCTGGTTTCCGTTGCGCCTGCGTCGATTGTTTTCTTGCGACTCAATTATAAGCTTTTAAAGTTTAACAACTATTTTAAAATATCATTCCACTTGACAACAGTTCAGCTTTATAACAGTTACTTTCAGATTTTAAGACGTTGATGTAAGAAGCAAATATTATTAGAAAGAAAACGGATTTAGCCGCTAAATATATGTAATTAAATTTTCTTAATTAATTATCCACATCTTTATATATTATCCTTATAAAACTTTTGGAAATACTTAATTTATTTTAGTTTAATAATTAGTTCGTTAATCAAATTAATTCCAACAGTTTGTTGAACTCGCTATTCTGCATGCTTCTGCAAACTGACTACCGTCACACTTGAAATTCACTTGGATTACATTTTTACAATCTTTAGTAAGTACAAGATATAACTTATATATTAATAATTCGTACCGAGCTCCTTATTAAATTTGAAATGTTTTCTTCATAAAAATATTCAATTACAACGTCTCAAAAGACTAAACAAATATAGAAAATAAAAAGCATTACGAACGAAACTTTTGTTTATGGAACAAAATCTGAAGTCGTAAAATGTCGTCCCGAAATCGTGGGAAGTTCTTGATTAATATGTCATCGTTATTTCTGTTACAAATATTTATATTGTATATAAAAATACGATTCTGAACGGCTCGAATAAATTTACAGCCATAAGGAGGATGTGATTAAAACTTTTATTAATGTTTATGTAAAATTATATGCACAATTTAGACGGATGGCGCTGGCTAAATACGATACACCATGCGTGTGCAAGAGGGTAAAATGTCAGGCTTAGAACAGAGAGTTAGGCTTAGGCCTCGGCCTCGAATTTTGCGGGCAGCGGAGCGGCAGCGGGAGCGGCAGGATCTTACGCGTATAATCAAATGGACCGACCCTCGAATACAGCGGTGCCCGCTGCCCGCTATTTTGAAGAAATGTATGCGTTTCCGTGCCGCCGCCGCTGCCGCTCCGCTGCCCGCAAAATTCGAGGCCGAGGCCTTAGTGATGCTGATGAATCTTTCTCTTATTTTAAATATTTCCATAACTTATAATGAACAGACTTGTTTCATGATGTATATAATTTCGTAATTTGTACAGCTTGCAGTAAATACAAACTGTTAAATTTGCGTGTTATATAATTCGCCATTATATGCGAACATTTGCGTCACCGCTGACCTTAAAAAGTCCACGTTGAGCAAACAGAACTGTTTATAATTGTTATTAATCATTATTTAAATAATAATCATCGGCGCCAAAATTATATATATTGTTCTTAACAATTTTGTCACTATTTTTATATTTCGTTACATTCCAAATATATAAATACATAAGTGAGAACGAATGTAAATGGATCTATGTGTTCGTAAACCGAACAATGAATAATAACTTAGCTATTGAAACATAAATAATTATTATAAATAAATAAAAAGGACACGTAATAAAATTTCATTCAAAGAAATATTGTTTATTAATAACTTATTTAATTCCCACAGCTATTTCTCCAGACTTCCATGAGAAACAATCGGAGAACATTTTCGTTAGCGCACTGTACACTACCAATAGCATGCACAAAGAACTCTATTAAGGCGCTTACAAAATGGCTGGAAAATTAATATTACTCTCTCTTTTGTTACTTTTCCTTTTTTTGTTGTCGTTGAAGTCCTAAGTCTTTGAACACTCGGACAGAACAGATTTATTTTTATTGTTTTGTTCTAGGATTTCTTTGATTATTGTCTATCCGGTGGCGGTGGTCTTCTTCCTCGGTCTTTTCTTGGGACTGTATTAATCCGACTCTTTGTTTTTATATTAGTAAGTATCCTTTCATACCTTTATGATATGAACCACGAACAGCGACCGTTACAACAAACAATACGTACATTTGAAAGTGAAATAAAAGCTAGGAACGTTTAGAGCAGCCCTTAGCTCGAATCTTTGTTACGAACGTAAATCATTATATTAATGTGGACAAAAACAATAGTTTTGTGAGATTCTCATGGCTCGATCCCACGGCCTCCATGTAAATTGGTGACATACTCTATCATTGCTTAATAGGTTAGGGTCAAAGTTGTCGAGAGGTGTTATCCTGCGGTGTGAAGTGGAAAAACGTTCCTTGATCACCATTTCACGTGTCCCGTGGCAATTTAGTTGACAACACTGCGCCCGCGCACACAATTACACACTCGCGAAACACTTCTGATAGCAATCACCGCCTGAACGATTAAGGAGAGACGATTTCTTTTGTCCGCTCAAATAACTATATTTATACACAATTTCATGACTTTCCTTTTGATGTTTTGGAAAAGCATTTTCAGAGAGTGGAAAGGTTGGTCATAATTTTGGTCGTTTGTTTCTTTAGTGCTTTTCAATATTATTAGCACTATCTTAGAAGTTAAGTACTTGCGATCATAATACATAATACTTGTAGAAACTAGAATGATAGTTACACAATCACAGTGACCTGTCAACATCGGTTCGATAAAACAGTTAATGATTTCGTCAAGCTGTCCAAGGTTCTGGAGTGTTAACGTGATGATCAAACAAACGGTACGGAGACCCGACCGGAGGCCGTTACTAGGGTACATGTAGTGACATGTGAAATTACTGAAGTACTATTTAAGTTTTAATGAAATATATTGATATGAACCTGATAGTAACAAACAATCAGGCAGACCCTGGCTATAGCTGGGAAATTGCCAGATAGAAGAAGAAGAGTTAATGTTAGAACAATGTTCTCGGAAAACGTGTGATATAATTTATTATTTAATTAACGAAGTACATGACGGTCGGTTCGTCGGTCGGTCGGTTCGTCAAACGTCACAAGATGAACTTATCAGCATATATTTCGCTATAGTTACGTGCCCGGAATCGTTTTCATTGTTCGAGCGTCCCGCTTTGAAGATTGTTATGACGTAATTATTATATGTAGAGGTAGCATCGTCTTTGATGGGATAGGGTTGACAGTTTATAAAACAATTTAAATATATTATTAATAATATATAAATTTCATGGGTCATATACTGTAATGTTCATAGATAGAAAATTTTACGGTGGTAATGAATAAAATGCTAAGTTAATTTCTATAAAAACTTTTTATTAAAATATAAATACATATATTTAACCTTTACATATACTGTGCCGCTCTAAAGAACCGTAAACTTAGTCGTGAGTCGGGGGAAAATAGTAGATGCTAACTTCGTTCTATGTTTTTTTATATTATTTTTATTATAAGGTGCATTATATCACAATTATAATATATAATGGTCCGTTGAGCGTAGTCAGCCCTAGAACAGGAAGGTGTATCAAAATGTCGGTAACGTCTGGTGGTCGTCTGCGGCGCGTCTTATGCGAGGCGCATCACATCCGGCGGGTGTCAACAAACTGAGGAATCGATTGAGGATCTGGACGAAGGTTCTAGAACACATGGCGGAATGAAGAGTCTCTGGATCACTCCGACCGACCAGCAAGTGGGGAGGCATCAGTACTAACATGATGACGAAAGACAAATTGAGGTCTTACCATTGAGAATGGTTCATAGAAGATATCTTTCTTCGTTCCATGGAAGCTTTACGTCATAAGAAAACTGTTACAATTGTTAAAATTCATCAAAAATGTCTTTCATGACAATCCTTCCAGTGTAAATATTTCTAACTTTAAAGTGGCTAAAAAATATTTTAGATATATGTTTTGGATCTAACTCAGTTGATCATCTTACACTTACACCTCGTCTTCCCGTGATCAGGGACTCTTCAAAGTTATATTAACGCCGTTTTAAGAATAATATAATCATTTTTATTCCATACAATACGGTATAATATCTTCTATATATATAAAAATGGATTGCTGTTCCTTAGTCTCGCTAAAACTCGAGAACGTCTGAACCGATTTGGCTAATTTTAGTCTTGAAATACTCCTGGAAGTCCAGGGAAGGTTTAAAAGGTGAGAAAAATTGGAATAATTGCCGGGAAAACCCTAAAGACAGCCCTTTTCTATTTCTCATACAAACGTTTTTTTTGACATTAGATTTGACAACTAACTAATATGTCAATCATTCTGTTTGATTGAAACAGGAAAAACCTGATTATTTATGGCCTCTAAGACTTAATAGAGTTCGCCTGGTCAGCTATACCTACATATATTACTCTTGACCAAACTAACGCGGACGAAGTCGCGGGGAAAAACTAGTATTCTTATAAATTTTATATACGTCAATGACCTGTAGTTATTTCTTAAATAAAACGTCACTGCTATCTAAGAACCTTAGTAGGAACATCCAACTGTTCAAACTAAGTACGAGTATCAAACACATTACATGAAGTCATTAAGTCTTTTGTTAGAAAATGTAGTTTTTAGTGACAGCCTTGGACTAATGTAACGGGTGCACGTGTCGATCTCTATTTACATTGACTGTTCTCTAATACAAACCTTTTGTATGTACTCTGTCACCTGAATACCTTTTCTATTTATTGTACTAATATTAAATATTTTTTTTCAACTATATTTTAATTTAGTATTTAGTAATTTTCTTTTCTTTTACGATCTACTGTAGGCCGTGTTTCATTCCAATACCAATATCAAGTGACTTACCCAATCTCTATTTTGTTTGCCGGATCTTATATCGTTAATTTAAAATTTCAGGACAACAAAATTTTCTGTTAACGTGTTCAATTATAAATCTATAAAGACACATTTATTTTATCATATCAAATAATTTGTTATCATAAACATAACTTTCAAGATTTTGTTAAAAACTCAAGAGAATTGTCATCCTTCTATCAAATCAATATTAAATATTGTATAAGTTACACATTGTATATATTCAGTTATTTCAAAATTTGTAACTAAAACTACTTAAATGTTTATGAATGAACTTAAGACAATATGTTAACATATACACATAAGTTATGTGAACAATATAGCAGTGATGAAATTGTTATTATAGAGGAGACGATGAACCC